TGTCGTTTTCGACTTCGCGTCTGCACCCCTCCAGTCAGTTTCATGGGTTAAAAAAATATTAAGGATTGCTGTTCAATTCCTTGCAGTCCCCAGTACTTCGTTTCCAAAGCAAATTAACCTTATTTCTAAATTTAGAGAGTGATACTTGCCTAATATTCTTTGATTTAAACTGCTCGGCTCATTACATTTGTTTGTTGGCTTCTTAGTGCACAAAATATTCACAAGAGCCCGTACAAGTAAGCACAACAAAGGGCTAAAGGAAACAAACTGGAACTCGTACCAGCAGTGGCCTCAGTGGTCAAAAAGTCCCGTCTGTTTCTTTCCTAGTTCCCTTCCCCTACATCAGGAGAAGCCTACCAGACTACCTAGTGAAGTGGCATAGAAGTCAGGGACCATGTCAACATTGCCACTTTCTCGAAATAACGACAGTTCTGACAAAGTATGACATCCACTAAGCACCAATAGCGTCTTCAGCCCATTACGTTTTCCGAAACAAATATCCGTGTTTAGTCTGAAAATATGAAAGTATAAGAGATGTTTTTCACAGATTATTCCGACCTTTAAGTGATTCTTGGAGATGGTTTACAGTACCTATCACCAACCATGAACGTCCTATCTGGCTTCAGATTCCATCGTCTTGAAATGTATTCGAATGCAGGTGCATGAGGTTTCCCTACCACTAAAGGTTGTCTTCCTGAAGCTGACTTAACCGCTGTTAAGATAGGACCAGTATCCGGGATCACTGTGTTTGGATAAGGACCTGGACTTGTCTCATCTTCATTCGTTCCAAAGAAAAGGCAATCCTCATTCTAAGAAAAAGTTACTTAATCGGTTAGTTGTAGAGAGGTACCAAAAGTAAGTGTTCGGGCTAAGAAGACTCCGCGAAGTGACGCTTGAAGTTTACTTCTTTTGCTAGTAGTAACTCTCTTGTGCACAAACAAATCCTAAATTTATTTGCAACAGACTATAACAGCCAAGGCGGGCAACGGATAACTAACTGCTGATTTCACAAAGGTTTTCAAATCTCATTGCTACAAAAATCTAAAGGAGCTCAATAAATAGTTCTAGACATTTTGCCTGCTGTCTAAGTTGGAAGAAAATTTACTCTGGATGAATTCTTTTGAATTCCTAGAAAAAATAGAAAGCAACAGATGCGGAAAGCGCAAAAAATAAGACAGAATCCGTAGTTTTGGCTTGGCGATTTTATTCATGAACGTTCAATACGCCATCACAACAGCAAAAATCATACGCATCATGTGCAAACGCTTGGAATTTCTAATTTAATCTTCCGATTTGCCAGTAATTTTTTGCGCCAGTGATTCACCGTTACTCAGTTCATGCGGTTTAGTCGGCAGACAGTTCATCATGCGTCCATCGCTTATCCTCTATTGAAGAAAATCCAATTTTGCCATTTGTACGCGATTTCGTTTACAACTCAACCACTATCAGCTCTTTCTTATTCATCATATATTGTCCACTGCTCACAATAAATGCCACTTTGATCAAACAGATAATTTTCAAAGCGCCGTTCCTTTTTCCTCTGCAACCGCTACAAACTAGGAGACGTATACTGAGGCCATTACTTTGATTTCCTTTTCTTCTTCATTACAGGACGATACTTATCAGCTGTCGAACACGAATCGAAAAGTTCAGGACCGAGAATGTCATTTCCTGTAAAACCTCAATGATTTTTCTAAACTTTTGGCCTGTAAGACGATACGCTCTATGACGAGTCTGTGTAATATTCTTTAATTCACAAACTTTGGATACCACCACTGCACAGTCTGCCGTTCCTTCACAGAGCTCTACGAATGCTTTTAAATTTCTCGAATTTTTATGAAATAACAAACTCTTCTCTGCAGAAAGAAGTTTTGCAGTCCAATCTGCGAGTTAACAAACAGAAAAGGTCTGCTGAGAGAAAGCAGTGAGCATCAAATTTCTGCAGCATGTCAAAAGAAACTAATTTCAGACTATTTCTCTCAGAGTGCTTAGAAACCTCACCATTTGAGCCAAACGTTACCAATGGACCAAATGTTACAGACCAGTAGAGAACAACAAATTTCAAGGCTGCATTTAAATGAAGAACTGTTTAAAATTTTCCAAAAGCACTAGCTTCCTCCCAAGAAATGATTCACCCTTCATGTTTCCTCTTCATACTCAAACGTAGAGTTGAACTCCTATAAATTATAAATGCAATTACCTGGAGATAATTGGCTGCCTTTATCATTTTCACGTAATTAAAGTATTTTTCAAAGCCAACTATTACAGCTCCAACGTCTCGTTTCTAAAAAAAGAAACAGCTGGAAGATATATTACTAATGCACATTCTGCAACAAATAAGTCCTCTAAGCTAAAGTTTACCGAGCGCTCACTATACAAGAAGCCATTTTTGTCCAAAAAAACATCATCGTCGAAGTCCTTATCGTGCATTGGATCTGGACCAGACCCAAAACAATCAACGCCAGCTTTCTTTAACTCGCTACGTAGACCTTCCGAACCAATAAGGTAAACACTTTTATTACGAAGTAGCTGGTTTTTCTTTATCAGGTCGGAGACAATTGCGGCGGGATTCACGACATCTCCCTACAACCAGTATAAACTTTGACTAAACCCAAATTTCAAAGTCAATTTTTAACTGCAACGGCGGTTGTTGTAAAACACTTACCCTACCGCCTGAACTATAATGATATTTGCTCTTCAGACAGAAAAAGAATGCAAACTACTAATCACTCTAAGCAGGAAACATAGAAGTCCATAAAGATGACTTATTAGTGATAATTTATGACTTATGAAGACATTGAATACTGATTAAACAAAATTAAAACCGGCATCAAGGAGATCACAGCCCCTACCAAACTTATTAAGGAGAAAAATATTGAAGGTTAATGAATCTTTCAGCCGATATATATTGATCTCTTCGTCTACTCCATAACAGTAACAGCAATGTTGTATCATATCATTTCTTTCGTCATTACATATTCATTAAAACTCTGTTGCCGATGCTATCAAAGCTGTTCCTACCAACTCTGTGTTATTCTACTTCTTTTTCTTAATATGATGTCACAGATCAACTGCATAGAGTAATTTACTGTGCATGAAGTGGAATAAAAAGGGCGTTGAAAATGCGAAATTCTGAATGAGAATCAAAATAAAAATTTTACGACATTACTTCTTCACTAAATATTGCACTCTTTTGAAGAAAAAATTTTTACATTTATGACAGGAACCTGAATTATCAATGATTTTCAAATTTAAATTTTCATTTTATATCAAAAGACTTACTTCACTTAGACCTGTAAAGCCAAGGTCCTGCAACTTTTTCGCCATTTCTCCAACTGACCGGGAAGAGTTATTACTGAGTACGATTACCCGTTTATTCTAAAAAAGCACTACTGTTAATAGAATCATTCAATGAACCAGAGCTTGTTTACCTATTTCTGTTTATTCAAGAATACAACTATTACTTCTAAGCCAAATTATGTCTACAAATTGTTTAGTTTGGAAACTTTTATGGTGGGGGAATTGAGTGGCCCATCACGAACATGTACGAAATTCGGAAGAAAAAAACAGCCAAAGCAAAATGTAGACGGCCACATTTGAAAATTGAAATAAAAATCTAAATTATCGATGAGTGATGTGGTACATCG